AGAACTTCCTGTGGAAAAGCCCTAAATTCCTATGATCTGTTGTCACCCTTATTTGGATTTCAAGTATCGTCTGAACGTTTTTAACCAGTATGTCAGGGTTTAACTTGGTTGTCTGTTAAAACTCCCCTGTCACAAATCTGTCACAAATCACTTGTGAAGCTATGCAGTTTTGTGATGCAGAAATGAATAATGCCTCAGTTTGCACTGAAAGCTGTCATCTCTGTCTGATTCTGTATCAGCTACATAYGTAAGAACATAAATGAACCTTGGAGCACTTATTTTAAGAGCATATTCTACTCTGTCCAGAAACATACCAGGGCTGTTTGCACACCTCATCTACCAGTGCACACCTCAACTACTCGTGCAAGCAAGGCATGTAAATTGTGATTTAAGGGGTAAGTAGACAGATTCCCAGAATCACAGAACAGCCCAGGTTGGAAAAGACAGCAGAAGATCATGGGGCCCAACTTTTCCTGGAGAGGTCAACTTGGGTGAGACTGTCTAGCCCTCTGTTCTGTCTCATCCTGAACACTGCCAGTGATGGGAACTGCACCATATCCAGTGATTGTTCCCAGTGTAAAAAATCTGAAAAGATGAAACCTCTCTCCGTGCAACCKGTACCCATTGCCCCTTATCCTCTCAGTGTGGCTCCTTGTGAAAAGAATCTCTGTTCTCTAAGTACTGGAAAACTGTGAAGAGGTCACACCTTGAGTCTCTGTTCTCCAGGGTAAAAACACCTAACTCCTTCAGTCAACTCTTTCTTTAATAAAACACAGAACTAGTAAGAAATAAGTGACAATACCATACTTTATATATAAAAAAGTCATATTTGAAGTGCAATTATTTTCCTTTGTTTTGCATTGGGAGCACAACTCCAGTACCATTTAAGTGGGAATGAAGTAGGCAGCTTTACGGATGGTGGGAGAACATAAGGCGGAAAAAGGCTTGACAGCAACATTTGCTTCAGTGTGTTAATACGTGTAAAGCTTTCACCTGGAAACAGCAACTTCCAGTAAAAAACAGTAACAAGCTGGGACTTGTAAACTGCCAGTCAATAAAACCACACAATTTTTTTTGTAAATGGAAAATAAATTTCAGTGGAAGATTTGACAAAAAATTAGCTTGCTGCAGTAGATCTCCATCAAGAAAATAAACTGGAGATGATAGGTGGATTCTTCTAAATTGTACCAGATTTGAGGTTATTTCAGTGGAACAGAGCTTGTGCCCAGAATAGCTGTGCACAACGCAGTATACAGTTGCTGTTACATTGTTTACTTTTCGATATGTACTTTAAAAATGTTTGGTTTTCAGCCTACAACTCATCTGTAAAATTTTAAGGAACAGAAATTATTCTAAGTTATTTTTAATAGGGTAGTTTAATTCTGTCAGAAATGTAAGCATGATCTCAATCCGAAAAGAAGCAATTAACCAAGTTTACAGAATTGTAAGGGTTTGTGGTTTGGCACTCAGACATGTGTTGTTGAATTGACCATTACAGGGTAAGTGCTGACTCTTCAGCAATGTTACCAATTACTCTTAATGTGGAAAATCTACTCTGTTTTTCTACATTGTGTTTTTCTTTTTTGAAGTGGTCATTAATGACGTGCAATGCCCCAGATTGACCACACCAGAAACTGAAGTTCTTTTAATCCTTAGTGGGAAAATAGAATGTAAGGGGTAGAAGAGATCATTTAAATGTATTAGCTAAAATTGCCAAGGAACTAATCCTGTACTTGGTTCTTGCACTGATTTCTTCAATGACCTTTCAGCAAACACTTGATTYTCTATTCTCTAAATTCAACTTGCAAATAGTAAATCATGCTGTTGTCTCCTAAAGGAGAAAGAACAGTGCAAGTTTTCCAGTCTTTTCATAATGAAMTGTGTGTTATTGATGAACACCTATTTCATCCTCAAGTCATCCCATAAATAATTTCAACCTAGGTGTCTCAGAATACAATTCTTTTAAGAGTAGATAATATGTTTAGACATCATCCTCGTGTTCCTTTACAGTACCTTTATTCCTGAGTGTTGCTGGTTTAATCTTCTCATAGCTGCAAACCAGCTGATTTGTCTGGAGGCACTTCATTATCAGATGGTTGTTCTAGCAGAGCCACTGCAGCCAGCCTTGGAATGCTCAACATTTGCATTCACATTGCCTTGCTCCAGCTCCTTTAGGTGGTCTGTTGAAGTAGTTTGCTACTGCTCTTGGACATCAGGAATTACACTGAAGTAAAAAATATATATGGCTGAATCTAACTTTTATAGTTATCAAACAAGACTACCTTGATATTTAAGCCCTCCTGTGATTTTTCAATTTTAGTTCTTTTCAATTTTAGTTCTTGGCACGTTAGGGTTTTCACTTTACCGGTGTAGTTTATTTGTAACTAGATGCCCATCAGCATCCATGTAAACTGTGGTCACTGATCCAGTTCAATAAAAAGGGTCAGCTCAGTAGCACAACATCTGTTTATGTTTCTTCCAGTTTCTCCTCCTTCACTTTGTAATAAAATCTCTCCAGTAGCTACTATACTAATAATGGCCTTGATAATACACAGCACTTGAAAGAGTTAGAAGAAAAATGATAGGGTTTTTATTTAAATTTATAAAAGTGTACTTGAAAAATGGTTCAGTTCTAAGTTTTTTCTGCCCTTTCCCCAATCATATGTGGAAAAGTAGCATCAAAGAGCAGGAGCCAGACAAGATGTTCTAAACAATTGCAATTTGGGAAACAGCACCAGAGAGCTGCAAGCAAAAGCGAGGTACGTACAGAGATTGCTAGCAAAGAAAAGAGTCTCTTATGAAAAGGAAGAAAGAAGGGAATGGAAAGGTCATGCTTATCTTTGCAGTCTTTGCATTAATCAACACTTGTGGAAGTGCAAGAGTAGAATGTTCTCATTTATCAGCTTAATTAAAAAAAAAAAAAAAACCAAACAGAAAAAACCCCCAGTAAAAGTAATTTATACTGCCTGCACACACCCCATACCCCTCATACTGAGAATCCAGGGACATCAAGACACACTCATTTTTCATATTCCTAGTAGAAACACAGGCACATTTTGTTCCCTAGCAAACCTCACGAGCCTTCGTCAAGTCTAGTGTAACTAACTTCCCAACTTTCTTGTACTGGGTGAATTTGATCTGAACTTGTCACATCCTGTAACACTTCAATGGAATAATGACTTTCACCTCAGATGAAAAAAAAAAAGTAAAAACAAAATGTCAGAATTTACAGACTGTTTAGTACCAATATTATTAACATTGTGATACTTATGCAAAAAAGTATGG